ACACAAAGGCTCCACCAAACAGTATATAGCACAAAGGCTCCGCTCCATTCCAGACTCATTTCCCGTTCTCAGTCTCTGAACACATTCATTCACCAATGCGCTTCCTCTGTTCAATTATTAGCGCATGCGCGTTATTAGCCATCAGTCCACACATAATGCGAGCGGAGCGAGCGGAAAATGTATGTACGATCGAACGGCGCGATTTTCTCCTGTCGGTCGTCGGTACGCTTGTAGGGAGTGCGCATGCGGCGTCTTTGTACGCGCTCTTTTATCCGAAACAGTATTTCCTAATTTTTACACATTTTCGCACACGTGCCTGCCTCGCATATGCGTGCGCGCATGATCGATTAATAGACAGCTAGATCGAGAACTCTCCTCATTCGACGGCATGCGCTGCAACCTTCGGTGACTGACCGAGGCTGTACCTCTTCCAATCTTCATGGTTCCAAGCTGCACTTGCAAATACGCTCTAGGATTGCTCGTGCACGTACTGCTGCTGCCAGCTGCTGGTGAACACGACTGACGCATAAGGTAAGTACCGTTCTGCCACCTGCTCACCGTCTGCCAATGTACAATACGTTATGTAACGGCGAAGGTAGTCTGTTTGCTTCACGAAAGGAAAGCTGTGCGCTGACGGCACGTTATGCAACCCGAACATCACGGGCAAATCCCAAGTTGGGTCGCTCCCGCTCGCCAACAATGTTCAACATTTGCACTAGTAAGTTCGTTATCTCCTTCCCGCCGTGGCTCCGGCCGACGTGACACCCGATCGCGATCGCCCGATGAACTGCGCGCATGCGTATTGTGCACAGTTTGATCGGCAGCTGCGCGCGCAATGGCGACTCAGCTGCGGGACGAGGAAGAAGGGGAGAAGATGACTGGAGAGGGCTGTGAGGACGCGGGAGAGAGCCTGTCGCACCGCGCAGAGGTCTTCCGCTCCAAGCTGATTGAGGGATTCCAGATCATGGACTGTGTGACCGAGGAAGGGAGGGAGAAGGCACCGGTTTACAACTCCTCCGACGTGTCCAGTACTGAAAGAATGCAGTTTATTTTGCATAATCCACATAATATGACTGCTACAGCTTCCCAACCAAATTTATGGTTTGCATCAAAATAGCAATCTGCGCTACAAAACAGACCACTTTACCTTGGTAGTAAAAGAAAATTGACAAAAATGAGCTGGACGAACTAGCTAAGTTGAAATGAAAAAGCGCCAGCTGGAAAACAAAACTTTACGTTGGTAGAAAAACTTTTATGAGCACAAGTACTAGCATTTAGCTATTCTCTTCTTCAGGTTTATACAGTTTAACGTTAACATTCACCCAGTGCCCCATATACTGGAGAAACCTGTTAGTCCAGCTTCCCCTCCTCCACTACCCAGTGCCCCATATTCTGGAAAAACCTGTTAAAAACCTGTTAGTCCAGTTTCCCCTCCCCACTACCCAGTGCCCCATATTCTGGAGAAACTGCTGCTGGAGTCGCCGCGACAGATGGTCAATTTCAAGGTGTACAAGAGAGAGCCCGAGGACGAGGGCGTGGCTGGAATGGACGGAGACTCACCAGAATGAGGAACCAGAACCACCTCCCTCTCGGGGTCTGGGCCAAGTGGGTCGTGGAGAGTATCCCCCTGTCGTGTGAGCTCACGTGTGTCTCCATGGCAATGATTCCTGGTCACATGACTAGTCATGTGATCTTGGTATTTCCATGGCGATGAAGAGCACACACTGAGACAAAGATCACATCTGACGTTAGATTCCTGACAGGGTGAGTGTTGTAGATGACTTGTTCCAGAAGTTTCTGATGGCTCTCATTGTTATCAACTCAGTCTCCATTGGAGTGCAGGGAGGTAGGTCTATAGGTATACCATGCCCATCCCTATAATATACTAAATATCTACTCGTACTTAGTGATACAGGACTCTACATGGAAGGGGGGAAACTTATGTGATTTGAGAGCCAGTTTGGCAAGGACAAACGTTTCTCCCAAATGTTGCTAGCCCTTAGCTACCTTTCTCTCTTCTCATCTCTCTCCCCCCTCCCCTCCCTGCTGGCGACAGAGCTGCCTCTGTCAGACCACCCAGGGATGGTAGTCTTGAGGGAATTCCTCAACTTCATCGATGCCTTCACAGTCATCGTCTTTTCTCTGGAGATCCTCCTCAAATGGACCGACAATTTCTCTGCCTTCTGGAGAGATTCCTGGAACGTTTTTGACCTCATCGTTACAGTTCTGGTCAGTCTGTACATGTGTCTTTTCACTTGGCATCACATGGTGTATTGTTACATGTATGTCACACAGTTAGTGGGTGACTCAAACCTTGAAAAAATATAGCTCCGTATTTTCGATTGGTAAAATTTTCTCGCTTTTGTGGGTATGAACCACCAAAATTTACGAGAAAGGTTCACTTGTATATAGGTGTGAGAAACTAGATCTTTGCTACGAAACTACCAAAACTGCCAATTTCACCAGTTGGACACAGTGACTATTCGTACATCTCACTATTTAATTCTCTGCACTGATAGTCTGCAGTACCTCTAGCAGTGGAGCCATTCATTGGGAGCGGGACCAGTGGAGTGGCGGTCGTCGAGCAGCTGGCTGTCTTCAGGATCCTCCGGGCACTCAAGATGGTAGGTGTGGTCTAGTAACCCCTCCCTCTCTTCTTATCCTCCCTCTCCCTCTCTCGTCCTCCATCTCCTGTCACTGCAGGTGGCAAGGTTTGGTAGACTCAGGATCATTGTACTAACCATTCTCAAGGCCATCAAAGTATTAATATAGATACTGCAGGGTGTCATTCGTTTAAGCAATTGGACTTCAAGGAAATGCAGAATTCTTGAAACTGCACCCCGTGAAATCTTCCTGCAGCATACACTAACCGATATTCTCCATTCACCCAACAGTCAATTGTTTTTATTATCACGTAAATTAGTAAATTCTTGATCACTAACCGATTGTCTCCGTTCACCCCACAGTCAATGGTGTTCATCACCATTCTTCTGTTTGCCGTGGCCTACATCTTTGCCATAGTGGGTGTGGTGTTCTTCGAATCCTATTCCATTCCTGACAGACCTGACCTCAACTACCAGCACAGCTTCAGGTCTGATAGCAGCTGCAAATGTCTCAAGTGTTGCAACTGTGGAACAAACTACAAACTACACTATTTCCAGAGATCCAGAGACAAGCATTGTCTAAGGACACCTCACACATTTCCCTTGGAATAGTTCGTGCATTCAATCCCACCCATGAAATAAGGACAAATATAGACACGTTCTTCCGTCCCTTGGTCTTCAGGTTAGAGGGGCTCCACTGTAGTGCCAAACAGTTGCATGCTACTTGTTGACCTCAGCACACATGTGCAGCAGGGGTTACGGTACTTGGTTCGTGAGTATAATCATCTATCTGTTTTTTTAACCCTCGATCTCTCCCCTCTCATCACCATCTCTCTCCTCCCATCACCCACCACATGGTGTCCCCCAGCTCCCTACCGAGGGCTCTGCTGACACTATTCCAGCTGTTCACCCTGGACCAGTGGGTGGATATCCACTCGGACCTGGTGGCGGTCTCCAACAGGGCATTCACCAGCACCTACATCCTCCTCTGGGTCTGGGTGGGCGCCTTCCTCTTCAGGAACCTCTTCGTTGGGATCATGGGTCGGAAATAATAACAGTTTTTTGGCGAGCGAAGGGAGCAGTTAGGATTTTTCGCACATGTTTCAGCGTATTTAGAATCACGTAGAACATTACGGTATGTGCAGTGCCGTGCCTGTCACAAAAAAACGACAAATATACCCACTTTCAGACAATTAGGTAGGCCCACTTTGCTCACCAAAATTAGTTCACTGTCCCCCTTATATAGTGGTACATCTGTATCTCACTACACCTGACCTTGCCTCTATCTCGCTGCCCCGACCTCCATCTGCATATCTTTCACTGTTTCATACAATGATACGGTACAAGGGACTTCCTCCCTCCTCCTCCTTCTCTCCCCCTCTCTCTTCCAGTCAACAACTTCCAGACCATCACGGCAGACCTGTTCCGGAGGCAGGAGTGTGTGGAGCAGTCTGAGGAACTGGCGAGGATGAAAGAGGAACTGGACAATGAGATTAACAAGCATGACAACCGTATGCACAGGTATTTACTAACTCTAGGTACTGTGTGTCTGATGACTGACTATATACAGTGGAACCTCTGAATAAGAGGCATCAATAAAATTGTATCTGTGAAGAGTCATATTCATTTCTGCGTTCGTTTCCAACTGTTTCTCTCTCTCCATTCTCTCCATTCAGACCACACCTGTTTCCATCAGTGGACTCTATTCAACAGGCAACCAGGTGCATATGTTTGCATTTGCTTACCAACATACATACATACAGCGAAATCTCTGAAAAAGACAAACCAAATACCTCTCTAGATCTATAGATTAGAGGACACTTGATTCTGTATAAGAGGTTTTCAATGTGTCCCTATATTGTGAGGTTTGACTATAGAGAAATGTGAGTCTGAGTGATACCGTTAATATGTGATGGTCCTCTCCTGAAACACCCGGCAGTGAGGGAAGAGGGGAGGGAGGGGAAGGGGGAGAGGAAGAAGGGAGTCAGAACACCAGCGACGGCCATTCTCTGGAGGAAGAGGAGGAGGAGGAGGTGTCAGAGGGGTGGGATAGGACAGTTCACACTCACCTCATGGCACTGGCTGTCAGCCCAGTCGAGACACTATGGGCAAAAGACTCCCTCTTCAGGTACTGGTCAACTTCAAGTACTGGTCAGTGGTCACCTGCAGGTACTGGTCATCTTCAATGTGTGAAGACAGTGAAGGTGATATTTGGGGGTAGTCCTGTAAACTATGTAAATACCAAATTTGTAAGAGTTCCGAAGCTGAAAATATGAAGCCATTTATATTATTGAAAGTCATGTTTGTTGTGATACTCTCTGTGCGTATATATATTTAGTGCATAGCTGACAAACATATTGAACATACTATTGTATACACACCATCAGGTATCTGGAGGCCATGGAGCAACTGCAGGAGAACCTTGAAGAATATGACAAACTGCAGTCACTTACCAGTGAGAGAGACCATATCTTGTTTGTTTCACTTACCAGTGAGAGAGAGACCATATCTTTGTTTCACAACTTACTTCCTCCCAAATATATACCATTACCCGGTCTCAGATGATGTTCTACTGCAAGTGATGGATTCTTCCAGAGATCACTGTTGAACAGAGCTGTACTATGCAGAAACTAATAATGCATTCAGCACAGCTATGATCTGTATACTTATACCACTCTGTACACACAACACACATGCCACATAATATTATAGAACTCTCACATACGTCTTATTAATCCTTTCTTGAATCCATAAAAACAAGTTTTTTTTTATGTTTTGCAGAGTTCTCTGGCACGTATGGTGTATTTTGACAACAAAAACTGGAGTACACACCCAGTGACCCAGGCAACAGAATATGCAAATCAATGTCATAACACACACCAGTAAGAAAAGTACACAATTCTTGTCACACACTTACAATGTCCAGCATGACTGTATGCTATGTAGTATAATGGAACGGAGAACGATACGTATGTATTACTGTTGACGGCACTTGTTCAGGTCATAGGACGAGGAGGGAGGGTGGGAGCTAGTTGGAGGAAGCACAGCTCCAGTCTGTATCACTGACGTGTCCCATAGCCTCTCCTCCAGGTTTGGAGAATGGAGAACAGCTGGTCTTTGTGCCTCCTTGATTCCAACTGGTCCCCCAGCGGCCCCCCTCATTCCTACTGGGCCTTCGCCCCCCTTGTTCTTTGAACCCCCCGAGTCCAAGGGGAATGTTTTCTCTCTGTTGGTTGACTGAAGGTTTAGTAGAAGGGTTGGAGATGGGGAGTTTAGAAGAAGGGTTGGAGGTGGGGAGTTTAGAAAAGGGGTTGGAGGTGGGTGGTTTAGAAGAAAGGTTGGAGATGGGGAGTTTAGAAAAGGGGTTGGAAGTAGATGGTTGATATGTGGATGGTTTAGAAGAGAAGTTGGCTGAGGTGGATGGATTAGAAGAGGGCTTGAAGGCGGATTGTTGAGAAGAGGAAGAGTAAGAGGTGGTTGGTTGAGATGAAGAGGGGAGGGGATAGGAGGATGGAGGTTGTGTTGGAGCAGGTTCAGGGAGAGAGGGCGGGGGGACATGTTGATGAGGAGGTAGGGAGGAGACGGGAGTGGGCTCAGCAGTCTCTGTGGGGAGGAGAGGAAGAAGTGAGACACGAGGTTGGGGGGAGGCGAGGCGTGTATACCTGGCGGACATGGGAGGATATTGCCACATTTCTGCTTCAAGTCAATGTACTTCGCTCTGAATATGTTCCTTTCAGTTCTGTATCTCTCTATCTCCTTCCTGCAGACAGACAAGACAGTTTTGTTTGCAAATGCAAGCAAACGCAAGAATCACAATCGTGCAGCAACAGGCCACTAACTGGTCCAGATCGTGGAGCTCGTCTCTCTCCTTCACAGCGGCCAAGAGTTTCTTAGCCCGGGCCATCAATTTCTCCTTCTCCTCCCTTGTCTTGGCCAGCTCTCCTCTGAGGTGGTAGACGGCGGCCGATGTGACTGTACCGGCACTGTCGCAGCAGATGGCCCCAGCAGAGGACTGGCTGGGTTGGTAGGTCATGTGTGCCTTCACCTGGGCCTTCAGACTAGCATTATCCTTCTGGAGATCTCTTAGTCTGAGGAGAGAGAGAGAGAGGAAGTGGTGTAAGTCACAAGTTGAAGAAAATGTGAACTAAAACTTAGCGCGAAACATTCATTTGGGCAAATTCTATGCTGTGATATACTAGTTCCCCAAAGCAAGCACTTTGCAAGGCTCTGCAAATTGTGGATGCTGTAAAAGACTTACTTTGCAGCAGCTTCGGCTAGTTCATAAGGACCGGGCTGCCTCTGTTGCTGCTGGGCCTGATTCAACTGAGGGAGAGAGAGGAGAGAGAGAGCGAGAGAGAGAGAGGAGAGAGAGAGAGCGAGAGAGAGAGGAGAGAGAGAGAGAGAGAGAGAGAGAGAGATGTGAAAAATATCAAATGTAACACACGGACCTTGGCCTGAAGACAAGAGATTTGAGAAGTGAGTCTAGAAACCTCGTCTTCCAGTCCCTTTATCTGAGACACACACACACACACACACACACACAGCAGGAAGAGAGGGAGAAGGTTGCTGACCACTATTGGCTAGTACTCACTCACCTTTGTGAGGAGTTTCTCTTTCTCCTCCTCCCATTCATCCTCCTTGTCGGCCATCTTGGAATAGTTGTCCTGTACACAGACAGAGACCACAGTCAGCCAGTCTTCACACAGAGTTAGTGGTGAGGCCACTGACTTGGGCTAGGTCAGCGATTTTGGAGTAGAGAGTGTCTACTTTTCCTCTCAGTTCTCCCACCTCCTTCTCAAGAGCAGCGTTCTTTGCCAGGCTCTCCTAGTACAGACATACACACAGAAACATAATTAGTTTCTCTGTATCCAGTATATTACTCTAGGGACACACAAACAGTACTCAGGAGAGTGGTACTTTTTGAGGAGTTAGGAGGAAAGCGAGATAAAGAGAGGACTATCCTCACCTGTGCGGCGTCCAACTCAGCCTGAAGTTCTGCAACTCTGCTTTTGGCTCTTTCACAGGCTGTATCTGACTGGGCCTGGAGAGAGAGAGAGAGGAGAGAGAGAGAGAGAGATGTGAAAAATGTCAACGTAACACACGGACCTTGGCCTGAAGACAAGAGATTTGAGAAGTGAGTCTAGAAACCTCGTCTTCCAGTCCCTTTGCCTGAGACACACACACACAGCAGGAAGAGAGGGAGAAGGTTCCTGACCACTTGGCTAGTGACTCACTCACCTTTGTGAGGAGTTTCTCTTTCTCCTCCTCCCATTCATCTTCCTTGTCGGCCATCTTGGTATAGTTGTCCTGTACACACAGACAGAGACCACAGTCAGCAGTCTTCACACAGAGTTAGTGGTGAGGCCACTGACTTGGGCTAGGTCAGCGATTTTGGAGTAGAGAGTGTCTACTTTTCCTCTCAGTTCTCCCACCTCTTTCTCAAGAGCAGCGTTCTTTGCCAGGCTCTCCTAGTACAGACATACACACAGAAACATAATTAGTTTCTCTGCATGTAGTAAGGTGGGGTATAGAGACACACACACAAGCAGTACTCAGGAGAGTGGTACTTTTTGAGGAGTTAGGAGGAAAGCGAGATAAAGAGAGGACTATCCTCACCTGTGCGGCGTCCAGCTCAGCCTGAAGTTCTGCAGCTCTGCTTTGAGCTCCTTGACAGGCTGCCTTCACCTCCTGGGAACACAGAATGAAGTACACGTGTGTGTGTGTGTGTGGAAGGAACCTGATATGAGATCTGGAACTGTTCAGACTCTCTCTCCCTCTCCCTCTCCATATCCATCGCGGCGTCCAGCTCAGCCTGAAGTTCTGCAGCTCTGCTTTGAGCTCCTTGACAGGCTGCCTTCACCTCCTGGGAACACAGAATGAAGTACACATCTGTGTGTGTGTGGAAGGAACCTGATAGGAGATCTGGAACTGTTCAGACTCTCTCTCCCTCTCCCTCTCCATTTCCATCGCGGCGTCCAGCTCAGCCTGAAGTTCTGCAGCTCTGCTTTGGGCTCTTTCGCAGACTGCCTTCACCTCCTGGGAACACAGAATTAGGTATATACACGTAATTGAGGGTGATCTGGACATACAAGAGCCTCGTTGTTCATTTCTTCCTTGACCTCTGTATCTGACTGGGCCTGGAGAGAGAGAGGAGAGAGAGAGATGGAGATGTGAAAAATATCAAATGTAACACACGGACCTTGGCCTGAAGACAAGAGATTTGAGAAGTGAGTCTAGAAATCTCGTCTTCCAGTCCCTTTATCTGAGACACACACACACACAGCAGGAAGAGAGGGAGAAGGTTGCTGACCACTTGGCTAGTGACTCGCTCACCTCTGTGAGGAGTTTCTCTTTCTCCTCCTCCCATTCATCTTCCTTGTCGGCCATCTTGGTATAGTTGTCCTGTACACACAGACAGAGACCACAGTCAGCAGTCTTCACACAGAGTTAGTGGTGAGGCCACTGACTTGGGCTAGGTCAGCAATTTTGGAGTAGAGAGTGTCTACTTTTCCTCTCAGTTCTCCCACCTCCTTCTCAAGAGCAGCGTTCTTTGCCAGGCTCTCCTAGTACAGACATACACACAGAAACATAATTAGTTTCTCTGTATGCAGTAAGGTAGGGTAAACTCTCCTCTAGAGACACAAAAACAGAGAGAGAGAGAGAGAGAGAGAGAGAGAGAGAGAGAGAGAGAGAGAGAGAGAGAGAGAGAGAGAGAGAGAGGAGAGAGACACAAAAACAGAGAGAGAGATGAAAAAGTCTTTTGTGAATAACAAAAGACTTCAGAACCTCCAAATAATGGGACTAGGCACTCTTCCCTTTGTGCCCTCTTTGGAGGTTAAAAATGAAATTTTGGGACATTGAAAGTGTGACCAGTCACTCTGCTGCAAACCAACCTGCATCTTCATTTCACTTCTCCTCATCTCCTCCTCTGCTCTCCTCAGTTCTGCCACAGACACTGAGGGAGGGGGTGTGGTCTGGGCGGCAGTCCAGCTGCTCCTGGAGGTAGCAGACAGTCTCCTGAGCCTTCTGCAGCTCTCGCACCTTTTGCTGTGCACACCACATCAGTACATGGGAGAAAGGGGGAGGGAGTTAGTTTGTATTGCGTTGGCAATATTGGGAAGTTATACATTGTCAAAAATTGGATAAAGGATTGATGGAAGAATTGTTAAATTCGCCAACTGTCTATTTGTAGTGCATTGTGTGTTAGTGGATTAAACAGCTGGGGCGATGGATGGTGTGTGTGTGTGTGGTGTGTGTGTGGAAGGAACCTGATAGGAGATCTGGAACTGTTCAGACTCTCTCTCCCTCTCCCTCTCCATATCCATCAGCTGCACACATACATATGAACAGTCACATAGAGAGAGGTGAGTGTTAGTCACTACGTATATTACTGAACATTACTGAACCACTCGCTCTACGTGTAAATTAATGGTTCCGTAAGTATGCATGTACCTTGTCCATGAGAACAGTAAGTTGGGCATCATCTGCAGGCTGTGGGGGGATAATAATACATACCTTAATTAGTCAGGAACTTTGGAACTTTAGTGGAGAGAATGGTTTACAGCAAACATACATACAGTAGCTACGGTCTGGTCTGTACATGTGAGTGCTCCATGTATTGTATGTACCTCGGGGCAGTGTCTCTTGGCACAGGGCAGTTTCTCCAGCTCTGACTGAAGGCTCTGCAGCTGCTCCTTCAGGACACTGGTCTCGGCCACCATCTCCTCTCTCTCGGTCTCCCACCTCGTCTTTGCCACCTCCCAGAGTCCCTTCTCACTCTCCCAGGCCTGCCTCTCCCTGGCCATCTCCTCCCTCTCCTCTCTCCATCCCTCCGTCCAGTTCTGACGCTCCTCAACCCAGTTCTCCCTCTCCTCCCTCCACCCCTGTCTCTCCCTGTCCCACTTGTCCTTCTCCTCCCTCCACCCTTCCCTCTCCCTCTCCCACTTCCCTCTTTCTTCCCTCCACTCCTCCTCCTCCATCCTCCATTTCTCCTGCGCCCTGACAAACTCTTCTTTCTCCTCTCTCCACCGCTCCTTCTCCTCTTTCCATTCCTCCTCTTCGTGGCTCAATTTATCCTTCTCCTCTTCCCTCTCTCTCTGCCACCTTTCTCTCTCCTCCCTCCATCCCGCTCTCTCCTTCTCCACCTCCACCAGTTTCGTCTCCAGCTGAGAACATCTCTCCTCCAACTCTCCGTGATGACTGGAGGCCATCTTGGAATCCCGGCACATCTTTGTCAGGCACTCTTCCTGTGCCTGGGAGAAAGAGAGAGAGAGAGAGAGAGAGAGGGAGAGAGAGAGCGAGGGAGAGAGAGAGAGAGAGACCAGTTTAGTAAGAATCGTCTGTGATCAGGAACGCTCTTAGCCTCAATCATTTTCAAGTGCGAAGAAAAGAATCGAGTACAGTGGCCTATTCCTGCACTTTTCATTTGTCCTGGGGATCACTCGTTGGTCGTACATTTTGATTTTGTCTCTTTCGTTTGTGAAATACAGCAACCCACATTCTATAGTTCCCTACGGGGCTATAGTAGCTGCTGCACGTAGTGTATGCGTGATGGCAGCAAAATGTCTTACAGAGTTGGCCATCTCCAGGTCCTTGAGTCGTGATGTTGTCTTCTCCAACTGACTAGTCAGGCTCTGGCTCCTCTCTCTCTCCGCCTGCACGCAACAATGGTCATTAATAGAGTCATTACTACATACCTCAAGGAAAGCTATATACTACAACACCTGTAGTTCTAGTCTGGTCTGTTCGATGGTGTACTGTGCATCGACCATGTTCTCTTCTGCCTCCTCTTGTATCATCATCAGCTCATCCTGATTGAACTGCAGCTGATGGACAGGAAATGTACCAGGAGAGAGAGAGAGGGCAGGATGTATATACAGAGGACCTGGTCACTACCAACTTTATTGTTGAAGCCGAGAAAATTTTAATGGGATCGAGATAAATTTTTGATGGGTCTCTGTGCAAATGTTTGTGTCTCTCAAGAAAGCTATCAAATATTTTTGTTTGCATGTGTGTGTGGTGTATAGGTATAGTATAGAGACCTGTTCGTGATGGTTGGTTCTGAGAGTGCAGCGATGGCTACAGAGACAGGTACTGGAATCCAGGTCTGCTGGAGGAGGAGGAGGATGGTGGTGAGGTAAGTGGAGACCACCACTCCCTTCTTCTTCTTCTTCCTCCTCACACTGAGGTGGTTTGAGATCCGTCTGGGTGGACACCTGCATTGCAGGAGGAGGCTGCAATAAGTCACACCATTACTCAGTATAATCTGTACCTCGACTGCACCGTCCTTTGGTCCACCTTCAGTCTGTGTCACGGCATCTGTAAGAGGGACAGCCTGAGAGAGGCGCAGGGAGAAAGAGAGTTAAAAAACACATCTTTTACAACAGAGCGACACATGCTTATAATATATGTACCTCTGTAGCCACATCTTCTGTTTGTATGATTGCGTCTGCACACGCGACAGCCTGCTGGAAAGAATACATCGTTTTAACATCTTCGTGCACTAAGACCAACCACTGCATAGTGTCCTGACTAAATAAGGACACCTCACTAATATGGACACTGTCTTCTGTCCCATTGGTGTCAGGAGATTAGAGAGAGGGAGGGGAGTGAAGGGAAGGACAGGAGAAGGGGAAAGGGGGAGGTTACAAACAGACCTCAACTGTGTCCATAGGCTCCACTGTTTCTCCTGTCGCAGTGAGTGCCGTGTCAGTCCCCTCCTGGACCTCGTCTTGTTCCTCTGTCTGTGTCTGAGCGTCAACCAGCGGACTCCTCACCACGGCAGGAGGTGGGTGTGGCTCTGCATCCTCAGTCCATGTTCCAGACTGGTCTGGAGTGGAGACCGAGATGTTGCTGGACGGTGTGTCCATCACAAAGGTTGCACATCTGTAGAGCGAAACAAACAAGAACGCCATTTCTGGAAATTCCAGTAAATATATACTTCTCCAATAGAAACTGATGTCCACATGTGGCAAGGATGGTTATGTAATAACGCACGTCGTGATGAACATTCAGTTGTCGCTATCACTAAGTACGGTAAAGTACTTAGTATATAGGGATGGGCATGGTACCTAGCATCAAAGATGTATGGGGCTATGATAGGGAGTTTTGTTCATCTTCTTTAAATTCGCAGGATTTTAATTTACTTGTAGAGTTTAATGCGAGATCAGCACTGACCAGTTCGGGACACACCTCAGTTATTTCTTTATTTAAGCCTTCTTCTACAGTGTATACCATATATACCTGAACATTGTTCTTCTCCTCTCAAGATCTCTCACATTAACGGTCGGAGGAACAGGGGTTTCCCCCTCCAACGAGGCCACACTAGACCCCTCCCCAGCAGCAGCAGCAGCGGGAGGCTCCAGTCGCTGTAGCTCTCTCTCAAAGCCGCTGGAGTCAAAGACAGACTGCCACGCCTCCTCTGAGGAGGCAGGGGTCGCGAACCCCATTCCTGCTCCCGGTCTGAGACGAGACACTGACCTGTGAACAGAGAGAGAGAGAGAGAGAGAGGGGAGAGAGGGAGAGAGAGAGAGAGGAGAGAGAAAAGATGGCATTTCACCATAGTTAGATATTCCCATTTCCCCCATGTTGGTCCCAAAATGCTGAACGGAATAAAACCCGCCCACTATTTAACGCAAGCGTGGGTAAAAGAAATTGTTCACAGCAAACTTTAGATAGTATCTCGAACTTTGAAATTTTTTGCACCGAGAGGGAACGAGAGAGGGATGAACCCTGACCTGTGTGTGATGACATCAGGGGTGACGACAGGGGTGATGGAGTGACGAGATTTGATGTGAGAGAGAGGATTAGGTTTGATGAGTAGGGGGCTGCCCATTCCTCGAGCCAGCAAGGCCGGGCATATTGTCATCCTTCTGTTGTACTGTAGACAGAGAGAGAGGGAAGAAGAGAGAGAGAGAGAGAGAGAGGGTATATAGGAAACGAATGCATGATCAGCGAAATCTGTGGGGTTATTTTAGAAATAATTACAGTATAGACATGCAGATTACTATCTACATACGTCCACATAACTCATGCTTCCCTGTCAATCATATTATTGCTGTGAGAAGGTGAGTGGGAACTGACCTTCACCCCCTGCTGCTGGTCCACAGTCTCTCGCTCCCGAGGTTTGCAGGATTTGATGATGATGTTCTCCAGTGATCGTATCCTGGCCTCTAGCTCCGACTGTCTGCTCTGCTTCTCCTCTATCTGCTCTGTCAACTGTCAGACACACCCACGAGAGAGAGGGAGACAGACATAGAGAGAGAAAACATAAAAGTTGATGGAAATATGCAAAGACTTCCACCAGACTCACCTCTCTCCTGTTCTCCTCTGTCAGTGATGACTCTGACTATATATACATAGTGGTGGAAACACATCATACATATGGTGAGGTGGTGGAGACACTGTGTGTGAGTGTGGACTGTTGACATACACTGCTGAGTCTGTTGCGAAGTTCTCCATTCTCCTTCTCCAGCTGTAGCAGCTTCTTCTTCAGAGCCTCCTCCCCTCCGAGGACTTCATTCACCATTGGCCTGTTCTTCACCTTCATCGCACAGATGGCAAACTGCCGAGAGAGGAAGGAGGAGAGAGACAGAGACACTCAGGTCTTTCAAGAATATGGTCTCTCACGTTGAGGGTGAGTTCAGTCTCATACAACTCGGCAGGTGTGACGGCACAGATGATGGCTGTCTTTGCATTGCCTCCCAGAGACGGCTTCAGGATATGGGTCAGTTTTGAGTCCCGGTACGGAATGTGGACACTGAGACAGGAGGAGAATGGAACGGAGACAGTCAGTTGTTACCCCACCCACTTATCACACAGAAAAAGGGTGAACCTCTGAACAAGGGACACTATGGGGCCAACGATTTTGTCCCTTGTAGAGAGGTCGTCCTTATCTCAGAGGTCAAATTATACACTAAAGTATATGGGGTTGGGGTTGAAGCAAGTGTCCTTTGTAGAGAGGTCGTCCCTATAGAGGGTCCCTTGTCAGAGGTTCCACTGTACACCAGATGTTCATTCCCCTTGTGGTAGTGTGGCTGGGTACCAGACTATGCAGTGTACCTGGAGTTCCCCTCGGCCAATTTGGAGATTACTTGTTTCAGGGTAAAGAGACTCTTATTGATGGCGATTCCTTCCTGGGCTCTCTTCCCGGCGGCCCCAGTGGCATTGAGTCTCTCCGAGCCCGCCAGGTCCACCAGGTTCTACAGGAGAGAGGAGGAGGGAGACGAGGGTCAGGTTTTCTGGTTTATAACGATGAAATGAAAAGAGAGACAGCTGGCCAGTGGGAACAAGTGTACATAAGTTGTTTCATTTTAATCGAGGCATCTAGTTTTTCCTCACTGAAAAGTCGAAACTTAACGTAACATTCAAGTCTGAACCTGCAAGCATAATCCAGCCGATATGTGTTTAACCCTCCCCTGCTACTAAACTAAACACTAGGGGGATGGAAGGAGCTGGAGACGGTGTGAGATGATCATCGTACCAGTGAGGCAACCTTGACAGTACTGTCCCCGTCCTTGAGTCTGCTCTCGATGGCCATGCTGAGCACCGCGTGGGATCGACTGCTGCGTTCGTTCATCTTCGTCTCCCCCGTGGTACGGTTGACTGGTGGGGGGATTAGGAAATAGAGAGAGAGAGAGACAGAGAGAGAGAGACAAAGTAAGAGTGTTGGTCAAGCAGCCGTCAATGGAAGTGGAACTAATAACTCACTGTTTCCGACAAAGATAACTCTAGTCACTTCCTCTATATTGGTCACTACATACTCCTTCAGACCGTGCACTTTCACGTTGTTCTGAGGTTAGGAAAAAGTACACAATAAAAAAGGATGACACCACAGCAGTATAAAAGTTAACACACAGAACAGTAGAAAGGAGAGAAGTATTCTTCTAGATTCGTAAGTGTATGTAATGTAGCAGGTTCCTCCAGCTGTCGCACACACACTGTGGCACCAGACTGACTACTGTAGTCAGGTTCACACCACAGTACAATGGTCATGTTCTCTTGTATGTTGTTGCCCAGATCATCACCAATGCACCAATTGCCACAGCCTATAAAAGTGATGTTGTAAAATGCATATTTGCTCTCGGTTCCTGAGATCGCTGTCGGTCAAAAACCAGCTCAACCACTACTGCACGAGTACCAGTCCCTCGGCACTATCGTCAGCCAGATTACTATTATGGTTTAGCAGCTATTTCCTTACATCTTTATCCTCTCTAATCTTCAGATCGGTAAATGAAGGGTCTAGCAGGTCACATATACCCTGAGCAGTGTAAGAACAGACAGAGGTCACGTGACATCAGAGACGAGGTCACATGACTATGTGCATACCTCCTTGTAGATCTCGAGATAAGACACTCTCACTATGAACTCTAGCTCATCATGCTTTGCAGGAAAAGGGAGGGAGAGAGGAGAATGGAGGGAGAGAAAGAGGGAGTGAGAGGGGAGAGAGAAGGAGAAATAAAGGGAAAAGAGCAGGAGAGGAGGAGGGAGTAGAGCTCTCTCTCTCTCTCGACATGGTGGTTGAAGAGCTCACGTCCTCAATGTATTCAAATATCTCCTGTATGGCCAGTGGTATCACTCCAGGTTGGTCCTCCATACCCATCATGGTGAATGTCTTGCCACTCGATGTCTGGCCATACGCAAACACAGTGCCTTGAGAAATACACGAGAGAGGGAAATAAGTTTGCAATGAGTCATTACTACGTCGTACAGCAGCAATAGAAAAGGACCTACCATTGAATCCCTGCATCACAGAGTGGACAATTGGTCTAGTGATTGTCCTGTAGATCTGGTCCGTTGTAGACGCCTCTCCAAACACATGGTCTACATAGGCTTTGTGGTTAAAACGTTCTTTACTCCAGTCAGTGTTCCACTCACCGAACTCGAAGCCCGCGTTGCCCGGTGTGGTCGGTACGATGGTATTCTCTCCTTGTATCGCCCATTTCAGTCCACCCTTCTCCCTGTGGGAAAGAAATGCCACGAGAGAGAGAGAGAAGTTGAAAGTGACGTTTCTCCAAAGGTTACCTGTCCAAAAGTGGACGGACTCTTATACCGACACGAATGCTATCCATCACGACGAAGACCTCTCTCTCCCTCTCTCTCTCGCGCTCCACACAGTTCAAACTACGTGAGCGCGCGAACGAAATCGACCAATCATATTTGAGTATTCTCGTCGACCACGCCCACGAGACACGCCCCTCCATAATGACTGCCGTATCTCCAAGAGTAGCACTCCTTTGCAGGTTTTATGCGGAGCTCCACGGCGACCGGTGTGTAGTACGGTCTGCGGGAGTAGTATATTGTCCTCCTCCACAACTGTAACCGTCTCCCGGCCGGCGGAGCGACTCACAAGGCGGAGAAGGGTGCGTGAGGTAGTCGTATCAGGTGCACGTGACCCAACTGAAATCCTCAGCAACCGGACAGTAGAGGCACTGTGGGGCTGTCCAGAGAACTGTCAGTAAGATGGTCGTCTGGTAAAGCCTCGGGAGAGATATGGTGAGCCCCTGCTAATTATAGGAAGGAACCGAAAAGGGAAAGAAGTAGTTTTGTGTGTGTTGCAGGCAGGGAGATGAGTTGACGTATCACCGACTGGCTGATGAAACTCTGGACGAACTGACTGACTTCTTTGAGGACCTGGGAGAAAGGACCTGTACTTCTTCCGACTTTGATGCCTTCTTCTCTGTAAGAACATTCATAGAGAGAACTATAGTGTCCCCTCCCACCTCAATTTGCCTTTTTGTGGACCATTCGGAAACCTGCAAATTCGCGAAATCTCCTGCCTCTAATTTTTTCCACTCTACAACTATTCTTCTCTCCCTCTCTCATTCCCTACTGACCACTGTTGTGGCGATGATTCTAATATATCATGCTGATGTGTATATTAACCCTGTGTCCACAGAGTGGTGTTCTGACAGTAAATCTGGGTGGTGAGTCTTATGATGGAGATGTAAAGGTAGTTTGTTTTACAAAGTGTTGGATATTAGGAGGACTGGGTACGTATGTGATCAACAAACAGACACCAAACAGGCAGATATGGCTTTCCTCTCCAGTCAGGTAAGTATGTATTGAGATTTGCTTTGACTAAGTTATACATACATCATTGTAAAAGTTCATTTAGCTGTTGTGATTGCAGTGTTTGGTTCTTATAGGGCATTATGTTATACTTTCACAGAGATCCAGAACTCGCCTTTCATGGGGCACTAACATAAAATGTGACACTATTATGTTTGTCTTCTCTCTCTATACTGCAGTGGTCCAAAGAGGTATGACGTCATAGGGGGTCAGTGGGTATACAGTCATGATGGAGTGGTCCTCCATGACCTTCTGTCAGAGGAGCTATCTAGACTATTGGAGACCAACATTGACCTCTCTCTCTTACCTCACTATCATATACACCTCTAGCCCTATTATTCCATGATCTTGCAGCCGCCTTCAGATCAACGGTCCAAACTAGAGGAGGTTGGAAGGACTCACGTGAAATGAGCGTGAATCATCGCAAAAAGCGGGTGAAAGAATGCCCTAGGTCAGTGCCGCCGGGGTTTATGGCCGACTTTGTTAGCTCAAAAGTTGCATGATCCGCTTGAAATCGTGCAGATCGAGTTGTAGGAAAAAGGTATAATGTTCTCAGCTTAGTTATAAATCTCGTGTACTAAGTGGCAGGTAATTGGCTGAGTAACCAGGGGTAGAGGGGGGTTGGCCGGCTTATCAGTATCTTCTGCCTAGGATTGACCTACCTCTACAAAACTATGTCGATACTTGTTTGGCTTTGGTTCAGCGAGAGCTTTGTTTTTGCCATACATTCTCTACGGAAGACAAACTGCTGACTGCTCCTGACCGAGTTGCGCATGCGCTTTACCACCGTCTACGTATTGCAATGTGTGTGGGAGTCGTTCTCTATCTCCGGTTCCGCTCGGGGAACGAGAGCTAACAACGACGTCGAGGGCCTTGTCTTCCGATGGCTGAAGGTAAAATTGTTTGCTAGAAAGTGCATCGAACCAGAGTTGTCCATACCTCAGCCCCTGCAGCCGCCCCCGGCACGTTAACACCGGACGATGCGGTGGACGTGTTGGAGGAGCTACTGCCGGCACAAAACAAGTCCTACGAACTGGGGCTCAAGTTGAAACTGCAACAACACGTCGTGGAGGCCATCCATGATACATATTCCAAGCCACGCAATCGCCTTCTCCACGTTATTATCGCGTTTACCAACCAAGTAGAGCCCAGACCGACATGGAGGGTCATTGTGAAGGCCCTGAGAAGTCGAGTGGTCGACCTACCGGCACTAGCTAACACGGTGGAAGCTGCTCATTTTCTAGTCCCTGTTCGTTCTTCTGTGTCCCCGGCGAGTATTGAGGATGAAATAGAAAATCTTGAAGATAGGTTTTTACAGCTCACGTGCGAAACACGAGCAGCGCTTTCCGATAGAGAGCAGCAAGATAAAAACTTTCTGCAGAGCTTCTCTGCTTTTCTTCTTAACCTTCCTGTTGCAAAGAAAGTTGTTCATGTAACATTTTTTCATCAGAATGAAGATGAAATCCTGAAAGCTAAAAATATTCAAAGTTTGTTTGCCATAATTGGCCGTTACTGCAACTATTCCAACTATGAGATAATCGTGCATATCGTCAAAAGATTCGGTGATGCTAAATTAAACGAGAAAATCATGATGTACTGTGATTCGATAAAGAAATGTGAAACTGGCACAACAGTTGCCGTCTACCTTCATGCCATTTCAGCTCTTCCAGATAGCGACGTCTGCCAGGGGTTCATTCAAATGGCCATGAAAATCAATAAGCCAACATCCGTGTGCACAATGCATGAGATCCGACAGCTGAAGGAAAGCATTGCGGAAAAGGCATCCGTTTACTCCCACTGTCTTTATATGGAGAGTGTCGCTAAAGGATCGGTAGTGGTGCAGTTGAGAGTACATCCTGACTGCTCACAGATGGTCTTCGATGCCATTACCAACAACACCTACCAGACTGATGTCACAGTTGTGAAGATCTCAGATAATGGTATATTTTGCATGAAACACACATAGCTAGTATTATATCCTATTACAACTTCAATAGTGTGTACATGGTTCATATGAACAACATGATAGCCCTATTGTTTTAACCATTCCAGCAAAAGAAAAATCTATGTATACACCACTTAAAAGAGGTGAAGTAAAAGAAGCTGTATATGCAAGTCGCATATCAAGAGAACGTAAGTACAAATCATGGCATCATGAGACATAATGCACTGTGTCATCAATCTTACTGCAACAGGTACTTATACCTATGCAAGTGTCACTCATGCAGCAAGTAAGTGATAGTTGTAGTGTATGGTTTGTATATAGTTGCTGTCTTCCATAGACAAATGTGAATCATGTCATCAACTGAATCTCAAAAAATCAGTGTTAGAGAAAGTGGTAAAGGTTCTTGAATCTCACAAGGTACAGGAGATGGAATTAGCCCAGCAGTAAAGAAAATGCTGCTGGAGAGCAGTTTGCCAATAGCTGGTGACGAGGCAACCAGACAACACAGGAAAAGGTCTGTTTTAGCTTGTTTTTTACTTGTGTGTACTGTATTGTGCAATTTCAGGGAGGTGCAGCAACCACCCCCTCTCCCTCCCTCCTTCCTTTCCGCCCTCCCTCCGCCCCTCCCTCCCCGCCCATTCCAAAGCCCAGGTCCAAGTCTATGGCTCCAGTTTCTTCTGACTCACACACTGTCAAGGTACATACTGTATTATGATTTGTGTTCTTGAAGGCTCTCACTCTCCTCTTTCTTATAGACAATAAAGGACTTTGAGTTCCTTGTGGTTCTAGGCAAAGGGACATATGCAAAGGTAAAGTTAGGTCTACATCCACTGTTGGTTAGCTCTCTTCTTTTCTGCAGGTGGTGATGTGTAAGGAGAAGACAACAGGAGAGATACTGGCCATGAAGATACTCAAGAAGGGTATGATAGTGGCCAAAGATGAGATCACCCACACCGTAACAGAGAGAAAAGTTCTCCAGATGACATCATCTCATCCTTTCCTCACGGTACAGTACACTCCTCCACATTCACACTACTGACTAGCTACCTGTCTCCCCCCCTCCCTCTCTCTCCAGAGTCTCAAGTACTCATTCCAGACACCAGACCGATTGTGTTTAGTGACAGAGTACGTACAAGGAGGAGACCTCTTCTACCATCTGTCCAGAGAGAGAGTATTCTCAGAGGACCGCACCAGGTTCTATGGAGCTGAGATAATTCTGGGAATCCAGTACCTCCACAGCATAGGAGTGGTCCACCGACACATGGAGGTTTGCATAACATAACTTCACCCTATAACTATGATTTCAACGACAGCTGGAGAACCTGATGTTGGATGAGAGGGGACACATCAAGATCATAGACTTTGGATTCTGCAAACAAGGAATATACCCTGGAGACATCACTAGAACCTTCTGTGGCAATGCAGGAACCATGGCTCCTGAAGTGAGTGTGGTCTCTTTTTCCATCGTGTGATGAATATACTTTGACTCCAGGTGCTAGAAGACAATAACTATGGACGGGCAGTGGATTGGTGGGGAGTGGGTGTGGTTATGTATGAGATGATGTGTGGGCAACTCCCATTTTATTCCCGAAACCATGAGGTCCTTTTTGAGCTCATTATAGAGCTCATTTTAGTGGTAAGTCTGGTTGAGAAGGGTAGGAGATGTTGGAGTGTTGCTATCCTACAGGGAGAGGTAAAGTTTCCAGCAAGACTGTCACCGGAGAGCAAGTATCTACTTGGAGGACTACTTCAGAAAGACCCGAGCAAAAGGTTGGTTTCAGACATAGAAGGAAGAGGTTACTTTTACTAACTGAGGTGTGTTCACAGACTGGGTGGAGGAGAGGGAGATGCAGAGGAGGTCAAGTCTCATGTGTTCTTCAAGTCCATCAACTGGGACGATGTCTACAGCAAGAGGATCACTCCTCCCTTCGTCCCCATCATCAAGTCAGAGACAAGTACTGACTACTTTGATAAGGAGTTTACCGACCAGAACCCTGAACTGACACCTCCACCAGATGATGGTATATATACCACTCTACTCCTGATCTTTGCCTTCTCTCATCCTCTTCTTCCCTCTCTGTGCAGGTCCTCCCGAGGACCCATTCAAAGATTTTGACTTCGTATACACATTTTGTCATGATAGAAAGACCATTGTGTAGGGTAGATAGTGATGCCATTCGCCATTCTTTTGTGCTGTTAGAACAAATGGTTATTTCATGGAGACTGCGGAGAACACATTAATAAAACATAACGTGTACATACACATATGTAGTAATACAAAAAGTTTACATGATACAAGATACAACAGTAAAAAAAACAAGACAAAGTAAAAAAGGAGGACACAAGACATGGAGGACCAACAACGGATCACACAGAGACAGTGGGATGATGTCATTGACCACGCCCACTGCCGCCTGTGGGGTAGCATCAGACGGATTTAGGTGACTTGCCAAAAGACTGCGCCGTATAGGCCATCGCTAGTTAATGTGCCATACGCTTCATTTATGTGTTATGGTTTTTTTCCTAGCTCTAGAAATTTCATTAATAAACCATAAGACATACACTATGAGTAATCATAATGAGTAACAAAGTCACAGATTACAGCTACACAGTAAATAAAACAAGACAAAGTAAAAAAGGAGGACACAAGACATGGAGACAACGGATCACACAGAGACAGGGATGATGTCATTGACCACGCCCACTGCCGCCTGTGGGGTATGCATTAACGACAGGTCGTCTGAGGAAGACTTGGCTCTTCCCGATGACCAGAGGAACGTCTCGAGATGTGAAATAGTCCACCAGGTGGGGGATGCTGTCAAATTCATGGTCCTTCGACTTCACCTGAGGGGGGGAGGGGGAGAGGGGAGAGGGGGGAGAGGGGAGCTTCTAAATAAACCAAGTTTGGTGCCTGATATAATATCTGGACAAGTCACAATGGTGCGGCCTATGCCCCATAGCTTCTGGTACAGAAATAGGTCGAAGTGTGCCATTTTCCTGTCAAACTACATACAGTGTGTCCTCATGAAAATGGTCAAGGCAGCTCGCCTACTAATTCACATACTTTAGAAGCCCTTATGTAGCTGCCTATACGTCTCTAAGCTCCTGATTTCATGAACTCACTGTCTCAAGGGTGCACTACTGGAAAATAGAGGAGAGATAAACTAGACGTAGTATGTATGTATGTATACCTTGCCAGCTCTGTTCATCAGCAGAAGGTGCTGAGCCCCGCCCTGAGCTATGCCAGAGAGAACAAACTGTCCCTGTATCTTGGTGCTCTCTCTCACCAGAAACTCTCCCTCTGTCTCCAGCAGAGCCTCCGACTCCACACGACTTATCCGACCGTGGTAATAGTGCTGAGTCGGCAGTGGGGCCAGGGGGTCTGGCTGGGGGTTCTCTAAGGAGACTGCAGAGAGAGAGAGAGAGAGAAGGGAGGGATTTCATTAACTCGTGTGCGGATGGCTTATGCCATCATGAATTATCAACGAGGCATAAAAGTGGTTGGGAGAAGTGAAAACTGGCAATACTGGGGAACTTCAAGCAGCCCATTACGCTATAACACGCACAACACGAGTTAATGCAATGGTCGTGTTTTAGAACCTGAAATGATATAGGAAAGATGGCTATGATGCACTGTGGTAATGTAGAACACTCATTGTGGCAGAGTTCAGAGGTGAAGGCATGATTCGGCAGCCCCTCGTTTTGTGAATTCATGTAGCACAAGATGTTCAGAAGGCCACTCACCCGTGTTGCCAGCTGCCCCGTTCCTCTCCTCCTCCTCCTCAGCTGCAGCCCCGCCCCCAAACCCCACGTCCGGACGAATGGCGTAAATTGTGTCGTCAAACTTTGGTGTCCTCGTTCGTGACGCCTTCCCCTGTGCTCCCTCCTCATTTCTCCCCCTCCCAGCGAATCCGTTGCTGTGGATGACTGTGCTTGGATCATCATATATTGGAGGAGGGGGGAGGTTTGGTGGGGGCACCCCCCGCGACCTGGGGGGTCCTCTGGGCACAGGTTTTGGCCCCCCTGAACCCTGACCTCCATTGGGGGCCGGTGGGGGAGGTGATTTCCGAGCCTTTGGCACGAGAGGAGGAGGGGACGATCGCTTCTTGGGTCTTGCAGCTGGAGAGGGTGATAAAATTCAGTGTAAAGAGAGTTAAATTGTAAGATAAGGGCCATGAAATAATTTGGTCAAAATTAAAATCAGCATGGCATCATTTCAATGTAAAATGTAAGCTGTACATGCAACCATACAGTCCCACATAAGATGGAGTGCACTCAATCTGTCTTTACATGCACACATATATGTACATCTTTCCACTTACACTTCATGCATCAACAAAATCAGTGAGTTAAGGGTTAAACGGGGCGTACCGATAACTTCCTGTATGTCGTCATAGACACTCTCATCAGCCGGTCTCCTAGGAGACCGTGGAATGGGAGGGGAGGAGGTGTGGAGTGATGTGGGAAGAGGTGGAGAGGTGAGGGGGGACGTGTGGAGTGCGTCCGGATCGTCGTAGTCGTTGCCATGGAGATTGGCAGCCTCGCGACCTGGAGGTTTCACAGCAGACAACGAGCCTGTCGGGTCGTCGTAAATGACCTCCGCTGACTCCGACGATGATGAGGACGGCAAACGCTTCTTTGCTGGGCGTGGCATTGGGCGTGGCAAGGGGCGTGGTTTAGGCGGAGGAGACGTCTTTGTTGGTCCTGCAGACGCAGTCCCATTGTGGATACTGGCACCTAGACAATTATGTCATAATTACATCATTGGTTAAACAAACACAAGTGTGAAATTTCAGCAGTTTAAAAGATGTATCTACATACAATTTGCATGACATCGTGTGACGAAATGAACCTGTGTTGCTGTAGACATGATTAGGTTGATCGAGGGGCGGAGTCAGGTCAATGAGTTCAGAGTTCGCAGAGGTCATGGGCGACTGCTTTATCGTCATCATCCTGGCGCTGTAATTAGCCTCTTCACAAGAGGCTGGGGGGAGGGAGGGAAGGTTGGTGCACCAATAATTTAGTCAGTGTAACATCTCTAATCCAGACACCACATGGGAAACAAGAAAGTGTCCGTATTAGTGAGGTGTCTTTATTCCAGGGATTGAGTTGCACGCAAGAACTGTTCTTTGGGAAAGAAACGGGTTTCCTTATTAGGTAAGTGTCCTCATGTCTTAGAGAGGGGTTCCACTGTACACAAGGCCACTTGCCACACAGAGAGATAAGTAACCCACTCAAAGCAGACAAACAAGGATGAGCGACCGATCAATCTGTTTCCTCACAGGAAAAACAGCATATGATTGGTGGGGCGATATACATAACCCTTATATAGCACACACTGTGCGTCTTGTTATCAACACAGCAGCTTTCACTATAAGTTTAGTTTGTGTATTCATTGTACATGTGTGACGGTGACTTACACCTCACACGACAGTCATGTGACGTACATGTGATCTCTCCAGGTTCGGAGTAGACCCCGGAGGGAGGGAAAAGGGGCGTGTCTCTGTGAGCCCTGGACATGTGGATCGTGTCGTAAGGATTGTCAAGTCTTGCGTGACCAGTTCCGTTTGAGAGCGGCTCCTCATCTTCAGCTACCTGCAGGAGAGAGAGAGAGAGAGGAAGTGCTCCACTAGAACAAATGTAACTCAAATGAATGCAAAATGCAAGCGAGTTAGAGAGTGAAACACTCTATGTGAGGCTGACACACGTGAATCGACACAGTAGGAGCAGAGATGTTTCAGAGACTAGGTTCCAAATTACACTTGCTCTGTTAAACCACAATGGAGCAAACCCCCATTGCCTCTGGCACTCATTATTACTGATCCAAGTTATTTAGCAAACTCGAATGGTCCAAGACGTTGAGTATTTGTGCTTACACAGACAACAGGGGGAGAGGGGGAGAGGGGGAGAGATCTACCGTAGGGAATCCAGGGAGTTGGCTGTAGATACGAGATCTTGGACCAGAAACTGTCGTCAGAGATGGCTGAGAGGGGAGAGAGGAGAGAGAGGAGAGAGAGAGGAGAGAGAGGAGAGAGAGGGAAGAGAGAGAGGGAGAGAGAGAGAGGAGAGAGAGAGAGAGGAGAGAGAGAGGGAGAGAGAGGGAAGAGAGAGAGAGAGAGAGAGAGAGAGAGAGAGATAAACAAGGTGATAGTTCACACCCACTTGTGACCCCCTCCACTAACAGCAGGCAGTCATATATGGACCTGATGTAAGAGCTCAAACTGAAACTGGAAATTCCAGTTCAGTTTACATTGCACAGCCCTTCCCCACATGGCCACTAGCTCAACATTCCAACCTGTCCCACATGGCCACTGGCTCAACACAATGAAACCTTACCATCATAGGTCATCTTAGACACCCACAAACAGGTGTCTACAACGATATGATCGAGCTACACAGGTGGAAATATTTAGCTTTAAATTATGGTTCAATTTGGTAATGGTTGAATACTAGTTGATCAAAACCTCTTTCAAGTCGCTGTGTTTCCAGCAAATGTGGTTATAATGCTTCATTACAAGAGCCTCTGCCCACATTTCACTCACAAGGCCATGTGATTCCTTGGAGGAGGGGGAGGGGACGGGGTCCGCGGGGAACTCGGGGAGATCAGAGTAAATTCCGGCCCCCGGGGTTGGGCTGAAAGGGGGTTCCCCCTGCGGAGAGGCTCCTTTGTCCTCGTGAGTGACGTGAGCCGACTGGGACCAGGAATCACCCGTCCTGATCCTGCGGAGAAGAAAGAGGTCACATGACCAGTGATGATGTCATGTGAGAGTCATGTGACATACGTGTTCCTGATCTGCAGTGGTTCAGGGTGGGGAGAATTGAGGTACATTTTGTAGCGTAGTTCAAAGGCCTGTCCGATGGTAGTCAGAACGTACTGAGAGCACTGGACACACTCAAACACATGGCAAGCTGGCCAGAGGGGGAGGGGAGGGAGAGGGGAGGGGGAGATGAAGAGTATATAAGAGGTAGAAAGAGAGAGAGAGAGAGAGAGAACAGAGAGGGAGATATTGAAAGAATGTGCACATTATAGCTACATACATAAAGTGCTTACATGACTATCTCACTCATCATGAAAATGACTAAAAAGGTGCTGGTTGCCATAATCAATCACAAGATTCCACCCGTAACATGAATCTCATTAGTTCAAAACCACGAGTGCTGCTCTCAACTCTGCCTTTATAAACTCGTGATGCCAGAGAGAGAAGTTGCGGTATGCTTTGCTGATGAGGGCTAACAAGCCCGAAAAACAGCTGTCCAGAGCTCCGCATCTTTTTTCTCTTGGCATCACATGGTGTATTGTTACATGGTATGTGTACATCTGTATATACCTCTTTCATGGACTGGGTCTTTGGCCACATAACCGATGAAGTCAAGAGTTGGCTGCAGAGAGAGGGAGAGAGAGAGAAAAGAGGGAGGGGAAGGACACATATACAGTGGCTAACAGTACACTATATAGCACGCGTGTAGCATTAACATTCTAGAGATGAACAGGTTTGGCCGCAGCTCGCCGACTAATCCAATCATTGACCATATAAGGCACGAGACCCAACACACACACACGCACCACGTATACACACACAAACAACAGACTGAATTAGTTTACGTTTCGCTCCCCTCCCCCTCTTTCCCTCCTCGCACTCTCCATTTTCAATAGAACATTTGTCTACTTTTGGCAACGTGGTTCTGTCAACAGTATATAGGCCAGTGGTGATGAGATCCTGATGAGCTGGCCTCATATGGAGCGTACCACTTGGCCAACCCCCCCGCCTACCCCCCAGGGGCCTTGAGACGTGTTAGACAAATGCACATAGACTCTGGGTATCAGGAAGTGTGCTTAGGACACCTTAAAAATCAGGACATCTATCAAAGTCAGGACGACATTGTTTAGGACACCTTCACTAAAGACTAAAGGTCTAAAGAGAGAAGAGGTGGTTTGGCTGATGTGAGCTAGAGCCATTCAGTCTCGGCCAAAACAGGTTTTTGAAACTGGTAATGGTGTTCCAATGAGCAGGTTCTGGCCAGGGTCAGTGGGCGGAGCTTGGCAAACTCAGTAGGCGGGGTTTACTAACAAAGCTGTCTTTCACACAACATGTGGGCCAGACACGTACCCAGTACGTGGCTTAAAATGTCGGTTCACAATTTGAACTTGCCTTAACGTCAGCTCTAGCTGCCTATGTATGTTGTGGACCTAATACCAACTAGGGCCTGCTCTGTTCCTCTATACAGTGACAGTGTGTGTGGACTGGCTACCCCAGCCCACAACACAGTCACTCACTCCCTCACCAAAGATACCACTCTACATGCTAACTAGGTCCTCTGTTTATCACCACACCGTTGGCTACAATACACACGTGGTCATACAGAGATCTCCTTAGGTCAATGTGTTGGCGGACTTTTGACCTTCTGATATAATATAACAACAGTCTTTCCACATTAGAGCCTCTTATAATGGTCCCTTGAATGACACTAAAAGGTCACCGGTTCGTTCCCATGTGCTACATACACATAATACTGACAGTATTGGACAGTTTTAATGGTCCAGTGTGCCACTGCTCTACATGTGTAAAACATACAAACTAACAGTCTGTACCATATTGTTTTGCGATCAGAAGGCTATATGTGTAATACTGTGCCTGTATACTTTCAATGGCCTCCCAGCTACCTATACCACTTCATGGGTTGTTGACACATGACACGGGCAGCCAAGTAGGGCACCGCGTTCATGAGCCACTTCAGTGCCAACCACACTGACAAATGGATAGAGTAATACATGTGTACATAATATACAGACCCGCGGTCTACGAAATACAACATACGTACAGTGTCCATATAGAACACAGCCAATGAGGGCCACATGTACATCGGTTGGCAAGGAAACAGAGTTCCGACTAATTGAAACAGCTGCCAGCCAACAACAACACACATGGCGGAAGACAGGTATGAAAGATTGGTTCAGCGTAGATATAGACGCCAGGTTCGTGGCATGTATGCCGTGAGAGAGAGAGAGAGAGAGAGAGAGGAGGTATGGCTACTTACCCCATCTCCACCAGAGGCAAACGATATCGACGGCAGAGAGTGGTTCATTATCTCCTGCATCGTAAAAAATATAGTCACATGACTAAAAATTTGTGTATATTATACAGTAGCAAAAACCATGAAGTTTGGGCTAAAGGCTACGGATTAGGAGAGAGATTGTGCAGTTGCATCAACACGTATTCATCTCACTGCCTATTACTGTATGTGTGGCCATAATGGTATGCTATTTTTGCTGCTCGTGACCACCAAAAACTACTTACACCAGCAAACATGGGGAAAGGCATTTTAGGTGATAAAATACATGTTTGTCATCTGCTTTCACGCAGCAGACTGAGGTATGTGAAGAAGTCTGGGGTACGGCTGTTAATCATCACTCTCATCATGTGTGTGGTCCAGATAAAGTAGGGTTGGAAAGTTAAGTTATACTCTGTGCTATTTAACATACGATATGTCCAACAATGCTATGCTTCATGAAGTTGAGGGGGTGTTTCTTTTGAAGCATATTATATACATGGGTACATTTCATTTGCCTCCTGAAAGAGCTAGTTGTGGAGCTACTCACCCTGTCATTGGAGGCACTGCTGATCCTCAGGCTCTCCGCACTCACAGCCAAGTTCACCTCCCCTGCCCATCTGGTGTCTGCCTCTGCGACGGAAGACAGGCATCACTCACTGGGTATATATATCATCCCACAAGGCAGAGTGATACAATTGAAGATTAGAAAAACAGTATTTCCAGAGCTGTCCTGGGTGTATATACCCAGACTCTTTCTCCTTTGGAGGAGAAAGAGTCCAGCACTAACCGTTTGCACATGCGCGTCATTTCGCCAACTTTCCAGGGATTTGGAAATTTTGAAGAGACTTGGTACGAGGGAAGACTGGGTGGGACTTGACACTCTGCTCTCATGAAATGCTCTCTCTCCTTAGGCTAGGCATGCAAGGCAGTCTGTATGTCTATATACGAAAGGCAAGTTCAAATTCTTTGCTATCAGGACAGCTCGGCTACCAGGACAGCTTGGCTACCAGGACAGCTTGGCTACCAGGACAGCTCGGCTACCAGGACAGCTCGGCAGTCAGGGCTCGGAGTCAGGCAAAACAGAGGCAAAGCTCAAGTGCTACGTTATATGGTGGCACAAACCACTGTCAGGAAATGTGTGTGGACAAATCTAGATCATTATGAAATATACACTGACATTTAGCAATTTTCAGTACCACATATTTCCGCTCTGTTTCCTCTCAGTTGTTTGCTTACCTCCCAGCAGTCTGTTGAGTTGCTTTGGAATCTGCGACGGGAGAGAGGGAGAGAGGGGGAGAGAGAGAGAGAGAGAGGGAGAGAGGAGAGAGAGAGAGAGGAGGGAGAGAGAGAGGGGGAGGGAGAGAGGGGGAGAGAGAAAAGTTCAACTACTGACACTTTATATAGTTTTGAGTGTTTTCGGTTTTCCCACTAACATACATGTACCTCACAAACCAATGAATGAACAGAAAAGGAAGAAAGACAGAAAGTGACAGAAGAAGAGTCGTCTATGTGACGTATGTGTACAGGGGAAGAAGGAACGCTGATGGTATTGTGTGATAAAGACACCAATAGACGGGTAACGAGAAGGAATTAACCATCAAAAGCAGAGTCTGGTCTGCCACCAATCTCCCTCTTTTGTCCACATCCTTACCTCTCACGCTCCACTCACAACACCACCAATATTTTGCCAATACCCCATATAATGGTATGCAATCTAGAGGGTCAACCTTGCACCGTGCTTCGAGCCACAGACTGATATGGTTTGAGTTAAATCTGTGACGGTTTTCTCTGTAAAAATTTTGCGCTTGTGTATAAATATATAGCAATCTGTACATTTTAACTGCGAATATCTTAAAATTGTAAGAGATTTCTCAATATTTTACTGGGCTGTGTAGGTATATATACCTTTCTTCTTTTGTGCTGATGTAGTTTACCAGCAGACTCTGCCATCCGTGCTATAGCTTCTCTGGAGAGAGGAGAGAGAGAAGAGAGGAGAGAGAAAGGAGGGGGACGAGGGAGTTGGGGAAAGAAGAGTGGGTAGGGTAAAAGATGTTTTTACTGCTAAGAGTGCGAAGTCAGAATGTTGGCTTTGGATAGATAAGCAAACAATGAGAGAAGAGGATGAAGTACACATCCCTCAGTAGCAGGTGTAGATTGATGGCTACAACAACAGTTTGACATGTATGGGGGGATGACAGTAAAAGGAGAGTGGGAGAGAAGAGAGAGAAGAGAGGGAAGATGGAGGGAGGAGAAAGAGAGAAGAGAAAGAGAAAGAGAGAAAGAGAGAAAGAGAAAAAGAGAAAGATAGAACTCACTTGGTGACCTGTGTTCTCATGTTGTACTGCAGGGTCCTCATTGACTGGCATACTTCGATGCAGCCCAGGTACTATAGACAACAGAGGAGGGCAGCATAATACTCCCACTATACTTCTTACCACACTATACACACACTATATAGTACAACCGCTTGTTTTACCAACAACATATGTTGAAAACTCTCTTTCTCTCTTTCTTCAACTGTTTCTTCCCTCCCTCCATTTCCAGAGAGATGAAGGGAGGGGCTACCGACACTGATGAGCCACTAATAGATGGCTGAGACCTCTTGCATAACTCAAACCACCAACCAGCAACAACATTCTCTAACAAAAATGGAGGACATCTCTCTAAGGACTTTCCCAAAAAAACAGTTTGCTTAAATGAGGACACCTCATTAACACCGACACTTTCCTAAGTGTGTGGATCACCTCATGATGGTAGAGAAAGAGAGGTATGCAAGGTGCTAATAGCAGGATGTGGAAGTTAAGGTGACCTAAGCTACCTAAACTGCAATGAAGACCATCTTTAGCGAGGTGCTAGGTCAGAATTTCAAGGAAAGATAACCCAACACTAGAAGTTATGCAGTAGGTCACTGTGAGTATATACACGTGGTGAAAGAGGTGAAAGAGGCGTAACTAACACTCCATCAGTGAATTGCTAATGGAAGAAACTCAATTGCCTGAAACAGCCACACCAAATCGGCCCCACCAACTATTCACATGTGTGTGCTAAATAAGTAGAGGCTCCAGGACGTTGGAATGTATGGAGGCGGCAGATGGCAACAGTCAACATGGCTGAACTAACTGGCAGGAAGGGAGGGAGGGCATCGTTAGGGAGCTAAGGTTGGGGGCTTCTCCATTTGAAGATGAGGGCGTGTACAAGTGGCTGAAGCCTGGTGCCTCACCCCTGCCCAAATCTGACATCACACCCACACTACTACTGCCACAGGCTCTCACTGTCACTGGAGACTTGCCCGCAAATTCTAATAGTATGAATCTTCACTAGAAGACTGCTCCTTCACAACCTACGCCACTACACAGTTGAATGAGGCCTCAGTTCATAGTATACAACCTTCCTGTTTTGTTACACATGTACTAACGGTTTTCACGGAAACTTTATCCAGAAAACGATTGCAGCTATGCACAAAGACCACTATATACACGATCACAGTCCAGCTTGTACTGTATGAACGATGTACTGATGTACCTGTTCCAGAAAGAAGTGCTAAGAAGACTTCGGACAACGGTTTTTGTAGCGAGTGTTTGCTCCTGTTTGCACTGATCTACGGGTGGATCCGCACCGACAGGCGCGGCGGGCGAGAGGCAGAGAGACGGGCTAACCTTGATCTTGTAGTTGATGGAGGACTGGTCCTGGAGCTCGTGGTCATCGTGCAGCCAGCCCGAGGACGGTTTCCGCAGAAACGTCCCCGTACTCGACCAGTCTCCCAGTCCGCCCTCTTCTCTTCGCGTCTTCGGCATCTCTAGCTCCCTGTCGGTTTGTCTCTCCTCAAGCAAGCCAGGTAGACGTCCGAATATTCTTTCTGATCGCTGTCTCTCGCTCATAAACACACCAAACAAGAATGCACGTAAACTCCACCCACCCTAACTACGTAACTAATTACGCATGCGCACTTTATAAGCCACGCCCTCCTCCACTGATGATCGATGCTGTACAAAATGCAGAGTTAGTAGATTGCGGCGAGAGGTCCACTGATCCTCGAGGGAACGCTGATGGGAGGGAGAGACGAGGTGCGTGCACGAGAGTGTCTGTGTGAGCGGAGGGGGTCTTGAATGGCGTGGGCGACCAGTCTGGACTCCACTGTTGAACTGAGAGAACCGAGTAAACAGAGTACACCACACACATTCTGTCTCCCAGTGGTGTACCTGTTGTGGTGGTGCGGCTGGGGAGTGGGAGCAGCAGCTGGTGAGCTCAGTCCCAGCTCCTTCAGGAGACCCAGCAGGTGTCTGCAGTTTATATTTCACATTGTCCACCGACTTGAGCACATGCTAAAGGCGCTTTCACATGTATTTTTTATGCGAGGGGCTTACTTCTTTCTGGCAGTGTTGGCCTCCATGATGCTAGGGATGGCATGGAGGCGTGTGGAACATCAGTGGACTAAACGGCAGTGGTTCTTGTCTTGTTGGTGGCCGGGGAATCTTCCACCTGCCACGCTGCCTCACTCCCCTCCCCACCTCTCTCTGTCCGTGTGTGTCTGAGAGGTGTGTGTGGAGGAGGGGTGGAGGGAGAGGGGTGCCCTGCATGCTCGCGAGTCCCTCTCCTCCTCTCTTCTTCTCCCTCCTCTCTCTAGTTGGGGGCTGAGTGTAGCGATGAGGTGAGGGGCTAGTCTGGAAACTTATCCTCCCTTGGTCTGCAAGAGAGAGGAGTTCAGCAATAAATTTGGTTGTGGAGTTTTGAGGTAGACACACATTAGTTATTGTAGGCCCGTAAAACACATAAAATTGACTCCCAGAGGTGTGTTAATGAGAAATATCTCCTGTCTCCCCATTCTGCACACGTGTGGATTAAGTGGGTAATTCTCAGGGCATTCGATTATATTGACCTACAAAAACAGTTAAACCTGTTTCTTCTGGAGATGTCTGTCATGTGGTGGTGGTCATTGGAACCTGCACAATCGCTGATCCTGACCTCGTTCTACGTTTGTGGGTGTGGCCAGGATGCCGGCTCCGGCGAACAGGACGGACGAGGAAGAGGGTGTGAGATTCTGGTGTCTAACGTGGGACGCCCCCGTAGATTGGCTTTATCAGTAGAGACTTAGTGACTTCCTCCATCTCTCCCAACTTGACGGTCAGCTCGCGAGCTGAGAGTCGTCCTTTGTCGACGCAGTCCTTCCATTCTCTGCTCAAACTCTTCTGCTGAAGCTGATCCGAGACCGGATCTCTCCCACCACCTCTCTACCTCGTCCTCACCGATCGTGTAGCTCTCGCCTCACTCGCAAGACCAGGTTCTCTGCCAACTGCTTCTGCCGTCTTCTTTCTCTCCGACATGTGCCAGATCGCTGGGTGGATGGAGAGATAGGCACTCATCTCTCCTTCACTCTCTGGTAGGCCCGGGCTGTGATTTTTCTCCCGATTCGACGCGCCGACTCCAGTTCTTGAGTGTTGTGTGCCAAGGTCCAGACTGTGAACATGGAGAGTGGGTACTTCGTTGGCCCACCCTCTCATTAGCAGCCATCTACTTGCGCTGAGGCTTGCATTTCATTCGAAGAGTCTCCACTTTGTTGA